TTAAAGCTTGACTTTAACCCTTTTTTGCCGCCAAAAAGCCCGCGCTTTTCGCTACCAGTGGGCTATAACATATAGCCTAGTAGTAGCTCAACCAATCAGAACGCAGCATTGATAATAGACCACTAGTTGGATTTTACTAAATATAGTTACAGTTCATCACGTTTACTGATGCCCAGACTTCACAATATCTCACAACTTATTTCGAGGGACGGTCAAAAAATTGAGTTGTCGCATTTGGTACATCCGACGAGCTCCCTCAACCAAAATCTTTTAAAAAAATAAAAAAAAAATTTGGGCAATTTTGTTTTCATTTTGGTCATTTTGCATTTGTCTTCGTAAATAATAACGCGAAGTGCGGTGGGGAGGGGGCGGGGGGGAGATTTCTCTGGTCAATTCACAAAAAGTGTGTACATTGACCGCTGACTCTATTTAAGAGAAATAAAATTGAAAATTATATAATACCCCTTTGACGATCAAATCCGATTTATGATTCCATGTTAAAGGAAAAACGAACAATACAGAACTGTGTAAACCAGTCGTTTTTATTTTTTCTGGTTGCGAAAAAATCCGTTTCTCCTCGCTCTCCGCCGCTTGGGACGTTTCGCGCGGAAGAAAGTCTGCGACTCAGCGACAGAAATTCTATGCTGATGACGTAAAATCTGTCCGGAATCCGGTCAGAAGCGCTGATTGGTCGACGGAGTAGTTTCATTGTTTTAGCTATTGTTTACGAATGACAGACAAAAGACAAAAGGCCGCAAAGGTCAAATGTAAACGCGAAGAATCTCAAACAAAACAGCCAATATTTGTGGAATATAGTCTTCTCTTGAAGAAGCACTTGAGTTTTGCTGAAGCTTGTTGGCAGATGAACACAACACTTTACCAACATCGACCAGAAAACACGTAAAATTGGTCAAATTTATATTTGGAATCCCATGACTACCAGATTTATTATATAAACGTTGATTTACGTCATAAGTATGGAATTTCTGTCGCTGAGTCGCAGACGTTCCTCCGCGCGAAACGTCCCCAGCGGCGAAGAGCGAGGAGAAACGGATGTTTTCGCAGGCTACTGACTGGGATATAATTTTGCGCCTGCTTTTTGTTAATAATTTAATGGTGTGGTTCAGTATTTTTTAACAAGGCAACAATGTCTTGCGATCAACATCGGCGACAAAATTAGAGACCCAGTTAGGGTCACATACTTAAATAGCTCACGTATCGGGGTACCCTCTGGCTATATAACTTACTACCTCAGCTCTGCACAATTAATGGAATTTGTAAGGCCACTTTGAAATGCCAGCAAACAGCTCTACATACACTATTTCATTTATTTGTCACTTTATATCATTAAAGAAAAGGCATACTATATATAATGTATTCGCAATTTTGAAATCTAGTCAATAGGTGCTCAGTTCAGGCCATAGTGTAATGACTTCACGTAATGGTCTCCAATTATAAAGTCTTAAATGCTTCATCGTCGGTGCTGATGTTTCTTCCATCACAATCTACAAATAATAACCAATCAAAAGGCAAAAAGCACTACAAAAACAACAGCTAAGAAAAAACAAGGGGGAAACGGTAAAAAGAAGTAGTGCGTCTACGGTCTCGAACAGGCAAGAGACCCAACAAAGGCCATATTCAGTGGGTCTGTATCTTTGTCTTTTCTGCAGTTGAGAAGCCACAATGACCTTTAGATAAAATCGAGGTGCGTGTAACGTCTTCTTCGGAAAAGTAATTCAGTGCTAGGGTGCTTACCATTAACCAAAAAAAATAAAATTTTGACTAATTACCGTTTTTCAATTTCTCGGTTCCAGACTTCCAGACGTTACACAAATTCACGCCTTTTTGGATTTCATTCGTAACAGAAGGGACAATTAAGCTAAAAACTGGTAAATCGCTTAACGCAATGCTTTGGACAGCCTAACCGGGTTTTTCTGTCACATGATAAGCACCCCCAAATCACCCGCACATGTAACTGAGGAAAGGAGTCAGATAAAAAAAGGGGAAAAGTTCAGTTCCCGACTTAAGGATAACCTAAATACAACATAAAATCCAGATTACGAAAAAAGGTTCTCTAGCCAACACATGATAACTTTAGATAATGAAAATATGAATTACCCAGCATTAACTTTCTCAAGGTATTTACGACGTCTGTCCTTTGCATCCTTTTCAGCGCCTCAATAAACGTCTTGACTGTGAGGTCTGGATCAACTTGAACGATGTGTTCCATTAAAGTTCTGGTCGGACTTGGGTTTCCTTTTGGCTTTAAATTGTCACAGTCTTCCTTGGAAACACCAAGCTTCCAAGCAAAATGCAGCCAGTTTTTCATTCCTGGTGTTTCACAATCCAACAAGGTGGCTAGTTCTTCCAAACAATCGAGATTATTTCGAAGAGTTTTCATTGTGCCACCTTCTGTATAACAAAAAAAAAACATAAAAAAAGCAAAGAAGAAACCTGCTAATTAAAAAACTAAAAAAGTAAATTTTTTGAAGGACCTTTTAATGAAGGCAAGAAGAAGTGAAGGCTCCAAGAAACAAGGTTATTAGTTTATGTTCATTAGACCTCTTAAATATTGATATAACCTGTAGATAACAAGTCCAAATGCGTTAATTTAAGAATTGTGAATCACTGCAACGCTGATCATATAATATGCATACCGATAGGTATTGATCAGGTTACTATGGGTTACGTTATGTAACTTCAACATATATTGTAGGTTTTAAAAGGAAGTACCAAATAGCTCATTAGTCAGCTACAACTTTAAACCAAGAATGTATAGTGTGCGCAGAGGGTAGCAATAAGGATTCTTTTATATTATATCATTTGTATTAACCAACACCGCGGCAAAATGCATTGCGCATGAGCACAAAGTTTACCACCCGGTCAGATTTTTATTTCCGGTCTAGTAAATAAACCAATTGCGTAAGCATAACATTGCCGTAGCGCCAAGTTTAAAAGCAAAACGGCAGAAACAGACAAAAAAAGAGGACGAAAAAAATCACTTCGATAGCTGATATATTTTTCTAGTGTCAAATTTTTACACCACATGGTTATCTGGTTGCACCAACGCTGAAAATGATGTTTGAAGTTTGTAGGTCGCGAGCGCTCGACAAGACGAATTTGTTTTTACTGGCTTTCTTGTATGCTACCGCTTTGGCATTAGTTAATTTGGGAGAAGGCGATAACTAAGCAAAGAATAGTAATACTTATTAAAGAAACCACGTCATTATTATAATTAACACTAGAAACAGGAAATAAAAGTTTAGTGAAGGGAAATGCTCAACCTGGCGCATGCGTAGACGTTTTGCCGCGGTGTTGTATTGACCATCCTTGTCTTACATAGTATTTAAATTTGCCTGAATGTCAAAAACAAAACAGGTGTGTAATTTAAGATAAAATCTTACTTTTATAACTGAAAATGAGAATTTGTTTGCTGACGAAAAGTTATTCGGAATCTTTTAGAAAGTTGTACCTGGCAGATATTTGTCCAGCACATTGCACACATCTTCTCTCAGCATTTCCTTCAAGGCATCTCGCATTTCCTTCACAGTCACATGGGGCTTTCTGTTTTCGATGATCTCAAGGACTGCCTTCGCACAGCTGGTGGAAGTGGCGATTTGCTGCAGTGTTTGATCTGGAATCTTGATGTTCAGCCCTAAAGCTTTCCAGTTATTGCAGTAGTCCAACTGTAAACAAATGGTCTCAAAAGTGGAATGATGTTTTTGACGGAGGACCCGCAATGACGCAGTTTCTGTAAGGACAAGACATTTGCTACTTTTTAGAAATTTAACAAAGACATTTAAACGTAGCCTGGTCTTACTGAGCTTTAGAACATCTGTATATTTCCTCTTACAGTTGTTTTTGTTGCCATGTCTGTCGTGACATAAAGGTAACGCTACAGCTCCTTATTTTACATCGGTAACTTTTAACAGTACTTTAACCAACAAACCTGAAGTAGACGGTGCGGTCATTTTACCCCCTTTCTCTTCAATAGTGCTCCGTTTTACAGTTATATAAAGCTACTTGAAGGTACAAGGTAAGGAAAGAAGTCGAAACAAGGATTTGAGAACACACATAGGAATGGAAATCGGGAGCTCCCACACAGAAGGCCGAGTACCAACCGACTCTTTCCTAATCCTTGCTCCTAAGAAACATTTAGCCGAATTGAATAAAAATGAACATTTTCTTAGCGATGGCTTTAAACCTTTTGTTCTACTCTCATTTACGAAAAACATTTCATGTCTGGGCTTCGCGCTTTGTAAGGAATCTTGTCTATAACACTGATATTTTAGTCACTTCCCTGCCTCTAAATTTATGTTATTTTTTGTTGTTATTCCAATGTGCTTGTTTCATAGCGTAATTTAGAGACTTTACCTTTGCAATTATAACAAGCCTTTCCACTCTCCACGATGTTAATCGTTAACTGAACCCACCTGATAAAGAGTGTATTATTTATCAGCTTTAAAATTACAGTGGAATTAGAGCTGAGAGAAACTTTTAAACCTATTAAGTAATTTAAGAAACTCACCTGCTAGACCACATTGCTTCATTTTTTTGACCAGATCATTTCTCGAGATGAAGCTAAGCCCATCTTTAAGCTCTTTAACTGAGAAGTTAGGGTTGCCTGCTTCCAGGAACTCAAACATGTGTTTACTAGGACTACTCTGAGGATTGGTCTGGCACCTTGTTACAACGTCTTCCGCCACCCTGAATTCTACAGCGAGATTCTTCCAGTGCTGGACAATGGGCGGCTCTTGCTCCCCGCGGTAGATTGGTTGATCCAATCTGCGAGCAAGCTCATCCATAATACGAACGTTTGTTAAGATCTTTTCCTTCACAAGGGAATCTGTAGTATCATTGCGTAAAAGGTTTTGATGTATCAGATGTACTATAGTTAACAAGCATTGCAGATATGACAAAAAATAACGAGCAGGTTAGCAGCCATGAACCTTGCACAGTGTTAAACCATACGTTTAAGACTACAAAAGAGATATTTACCTCCCAAAACAAGTAAAAATTTCGCATTAGCATCCTCCATCTGCAGGCAAAAGGAAGAGATTGAAGAGTACTGAGTAAGCGCTTGAATGACCTTTAGACAAATATTGAAACATAAAATCGGTGACATAGAAATGTACCCTAGCCATTCAGAGGACTAGAACGCCCCTACTTCGGACATTCAACGAAGAGTCATATTGTTCTGGGAGACAAGGAATCTTCTTCTTTAATCAACAGCCCGGAAATAAAAAGAGAATAGATTCGAAAATTTGTAAGAAAATTTGCCCAGAGTTTTTAAATTCAAATTCACTTACCTCACTTACCATTTTTTCCACCGAAATGGTCGGAAAGACGTTTTTAGGCTTGATGGATTTATCAGCTTTTTTGCTGGTGAAAGGGCTTCACTATACAGGTATCGACTAATACATATTAGTAAACTCCAGCTAGTGGTCTATTATCAATGCTGCGTTCTCATTGGTTTAGCTACTACTAGGCTATATGTTATAGCCCACTAGTAGCGAAAAGAATAGGCTTTGAAAACCAAAACAATGGTGGCTGAAATGCGTTTTGCTAGCTAAAGTTGTTTTGTCTCGACATTTTTGACCAACTAGTTGGATTTTACTAAAACAATTATTTTTCTCGCCCTCATGGCCTCTGAGTCAATAGCGCATGAGGCCTTCGGCCTCATGGGCTATTGACTCAGAGCCCATTCGAGCTCGAGGAATAATTGTTAAATATTTTGTTTTGTCGATTGATCGATTATGCATATAGGGTTACCTGTTTGCCAACGAATTAAAAAAAATGTGAAAACGGCCTCATTGGAACCACTGTACTTATAGCAAAAGCGCTCCTCGTGCAAATTTGCTTTTTTTCAAAGCGTACTCTGACCAGAAGTGAAGACACTCCTCTTTCTCACAACTGCTTTTTTGATGTTTTCTACAGTGGAGGACTGCACGTTGATTGCAACAAACTGGACAGGTGACACTGAATTCGTATTCCGTAGCCCGCAACCAAAAGCATTCTTCACGTATGGTCAGAAGCACTGATTCAAGCTGGCGTCGTACTTTGTAGCCAATGGTCGTGTCGCTTGCAATACCTGGATCTCTGTGAACTACGACTTCGACACAAGATAAAAGACAGTGTAGGATGACTGAGTAGCCCTTGGGAAGGATGGGAAATCGGGCGAAGTTCTGATACGTATCCTGGTACAATGGGCTGATCTCATTCTTGATGCTCCACTGAAGGAACTTTACTATAGGCCTTGGGAACAATCCAAGAGGCACTTGAAGATTTTTACAGTCAGCTTCATCACCTGGGTATCTCTGGGAACGTGGTTGGTTGAATCGTATGAAAAGAGGGGGAATAAAGGCTTCGGAGAGGAGCTTGATGGAAACTTGATTTGGATGGGACATCAGCATGGATGGTACAAGAAATTGCTTCTGGTTGTCTACCGAAGGCAAACTGCACACCAGGCTAAACTTTTCCATGAGAGCAATGAGGTTTTGGGCCTTTTCTTTTTTGAGAAAGGATCCCCACACGATCTGGAGTAGTCTATTATCCAGGATTCCATCAGTCTCAAGTTTTGCCCACAGTTCTTCAAAGTAATGCTCATCAGCCGTAGGATCATAAGGTTTGACGGTAATTACTTTCCGAAACAGATCAATCAACCATTGCGGGTCTGATATCACCATGTCCATCAACTCTGGCGTGTCATCAAAGTGCAAAAAAATTCTCTGATCGTATAGAAATTTTAGCAAGGTAAAAAAAAGTTGGTCATCATCAATTCCACATTTATCACGCGCTACCCTTCTTGCCTCCTCAAGGGAAATAAATGGCTGGCCTTTCGTCTTCTTGTCATTAAGGGCCTCTTCAAAACGTAACCATTTGAGTGGAATTTTCTGCCTCAGTTGTGGAAGCTCAGTAACAACTGCAAGTAATTCGTTTCTTAAACGTCGGACTTCTGGGCACTCATCTGTTGTCCCTGATCTCGTGTTATCCAGAAAAAAGTACTTTTTATACAAGTGTTCACCGTAGGGCTTTGTATCAGAACGAAGAGTGCCATATATTTTGCGCGCTCGATCTTTCGCGTCCTTTCCACATTGATCTGCGTGTGTGCACACTAAAATAACTGGAGGTAACCTTTTTGATAGCTTCTCTGAGCCCTTACGGCTTAAGTCAATCTTCCCAGAGAGCCGACAGAGGACAACCAAACGCGGAGATAATCTTCATTCGTTTTAGTACAGTAAAGGTCTTCTTTCCTATCAAACACGCCTTCCTTTAAAAGTGGAGTGGCTATCTCCGTTGGGTCTTTTCTGAGATCATACGCCAAAAGATAAATTGCTTTTGTAGTGAGAAATATTGGGTGAGTAACATAGTATACTGACTGTCCACCAAAATCCCACAAGATTGATTAAACCTGGTCATCTTTTGTTGTTTTAGATTCTTTGAGCAGCCTTTCGACACGTCCTGCCGTTGTGTGTGGTACTTCTTGTTGAAACGATTTGACCTCGATTTTTTTCACACGATCTCCAGGTAGCAGACTCCCGATCTTTGTTGCGGTCTTTTCTGTCTGCGTTTGGGCCTCGTTCCCCTCCTTCTCTAACGTTGTGACATGAATGGCCTCTTTACTTTTTGAACCCTTTTCCGCTACAGTGACTGTTGAAATGGTGTTCACCACACTTTGTGCAGGTGTTATTTGCTCAACTTCGTCTCCTCTTAAATGAGCCACCATAACTTGTGCTAATCTGTTATGAACAGAAATAGAGGAATTGGAATCTGGCTCTTCTTTCGTTTCCCCTGTGCGCCATTTGTCTGTTGTTATGCTGAAGTATGACGCATCAAGCTCGATCCCATCAGTGCTCTCTTCTTTGCTATTGAACATTTGTCCTTTTAAAGACTTCTTTAAACTGGTCTTTCCTGATCTTTCTTGTCCAATGATCATGATGGGCACTCTCACTACGCGTGTCATACCTTGTTCAATTGCCTTGTTGTAAGCTTTGACAGTAAGGGGACCTCTAGCAAGAATCTCTGCCGGAACTAAAGGAATCAGAACACCTTGTTAGTTAGATAATACTGTTACTTAAAGTAAATTACTACTGACAGTTCAACTCTGTCGCATAGTATTAATAATGAGTTTTATTGTAAGATTTTATACTACTCGTAGTTTATGGAACAGGCACAGCTTATATTGTCGCTGAACTCTTCAAGGAAAACGTTGATTAAGATTTTTTTTGTAATGGGGTAATAGAAAAGAAATGACCCAAGGAACAAAAAATATTTTAGCACAAAAACTGATTGCCTACCATTTCCCATCATCATTTTCTCCACTAGCTTGTTGCATTGGTCCTCCCAACTATATTTTTGCATGTACTCCTCTCGAAGTTGTCGTGCCTCAAAGGAGGTGCTTTCACGACCCTTTGCCCTGATCTCCTTTATCTTTTGTGCCCATACTTGAGGGTCATCAGAGTCAACCACTTGCTTCCCACCGGAGAGCAGCTTCCTCAGTGCAACGCCTAGTCCAGAATATACGCTTATAAGGACTGGAAGGCCTGCAGAGATGGCGTTTATACCACTCATTCCGAAACCCTCTACTCTTGAGGGTAAAAGGAGCAGATCGGCTTCATTAAGAAACTGGGCCATTTGAACAGGGTCGTCACCATTAGTTGTTTTCACGGTGAACTGATTCTGTTGTATACCTTCAGAAAGCAAAGTTTGTGTGAGCTCCGAAACACCATAGAAGGACTTCATAATAACCATTAGGTGATATGAAATGTCTTGCAACAATAGGAGGGCTTTCACAGCAATGTCACATCCTTTAACACGAAAATAACTAGATAAATAAGGATATTCTGTAACAATAAGCACGTTGAATGTATCTTGATTTTCACTGACTCTATTATCAGGATTTAATTCAGAGAAAATTCCTGGGGTAATACTAACGACGTTCAAGTCTTTTCCGTAGGGCTGCAGGGCGTTTAATAAGGGTTCAGCTACTTTGGGACCAATTGTGACTACAAAATCAGCATTTTTACACAGTTCTTTCTGCCTTTGACGTTCTTCATGATGATTATTTGCACGTCCAGCTAACGAAACTCCTGCTACTTCAAAGAACCTCGTAAGTTCTACCCAGTCCCTGTGCACAACTGAAATCCATTTGCATTTCTTGGTTCTACAAATTTCTTCTGCCTGTTTTTCTAGATCACGCCCATAACAATGCATGATTAGAAAGTCAATGAAGTTCCTCATGTGAGTAATCCAGCAGCTCTATTGGAGAGTACCCAGGAAGGGTTTCGTTCTCTAGAATTTCAACATTTTCCGCGATCTCAGCCCGCCTTGGGTGATCTTTGGGGACAAATGCTCTGACGCGGAGTCCTCTGTTACTAGATAAGTGACGTGCCAAAACTCGATTGCAAGTTATGTTCCAGCCTCCATAATCTGAAGCCATTATAACTTCAAGTTTCTTTTTATCTTGCAAAGAGCCGAACCATAGCGATCTTTCTGGAATGAAAGAAAGTGGGACAGTCAAAATGGTTAACTTTAATTCAGTTTATTACACGTTTGTTTCCGTGAGAGGGCAAGATGACGTAATTAATGGCTGTGTGCTGATTTTCTACCGGAGAGGAAACGATGGATCTCTTTTGATCGAAAGTACTAGCTGTTTAAAATTACTTTAAATAACAGCACTATGCAAGTAGTGGAAGCCACGGAAGGGTTCTTGTTCTCGAAACGCAGTTTCACGGTTTTGGATGCCATCTTAACGAGTAGGCAAGCGAGTGAGAAATTACAGTGTTACAGAATAAGAAGAATAATTAATAATAAGAAGAATAGTTTCCGTAAAACGGCTGTTCTAAAAAAAAAAATGAATTGTAAACTTAAGCTAAGCAGCAAAGGATAATACTAACAACTTTTTGGGGGCGTACCTGTGCTTATAAATTAAGACTGATTTAACTAAATAAAAACTAGTTAAAAACTGGCCACAGGCTAACTCATCGTAACTGGTCTTTTAAGGGCTGGTTTTAAAGATCTCGTGAAAACTGCGTTCCGATACTGTTTACTATTCTATCGCTTACGTCCCGCCTATGATCTAGTAAAAACCTTTTTGTCGGAGTCGGAAGCAGAAGAAGCAGAAGTAAACCTATCACAAAGCTTGGGAACGGAACGTGCATTGTGATTGGTTCATCCTCCCGCTTCCGCTATTTATACTTAAAAATGTTCTCGAGGGAGTTAATTGTAGCACTTCTGTAACACTATAACTTGCGCGGAATGCTAAACAAGTAGAACTTCATGCGGGTGAATAAATGACATCACAGCACCTAACAACAGACACTTAAATATAAAATTAATGAAAAGTCTATTTTACAATGATAAGTTCACATTACAAACTTTGAGAAGGTTTTACTTCATTTCTGTTGATTAATAAATGGGTATTCTCAACCCATGGTAATTTGTAAAGAATTCAATTTCAGCCCGCAAAAGAGGTCGCAGTGTAAAAGAACTTATTATGAATGGCCAAAATTCAAAGTTTGCTATTAAGAAGGGACGCGTCATGTGGAACATTTGCTGTTTCAAAAAGGTAGCTTCGAAACTGTTTTCATATCCCCGAGAAGCAAACGTTGCCCGATAATTGTTCTTACCGGGTATTTCAGTAACTGCTCTTTAGGGCCAGTTTACATGGAGGTGGGGACCCCAGATAGGTGAGGTAACATGTGGCGGGTCACCCGACCTATCATGTAAAAGTGATCAAATTAAAATATTAAAGATAGTATATGGACAGGCGGGTTACCCAACCTGAGCGGGTTACCTCACCCACCTGGAGTCCCCTAGTCGCAATCTATAGGCGAACCTTTGCTGACGTCATTCAGTTTACATTTTTCTTATAAGCATTGGACTTAACTCATAGCAACCGTCGCCGCATATATGACCTTAATTCAAAAGTTGAAAGCTAGAGCTGATTAACTTGAACATTTTCTGCAAGTTTCAGCTCTTTGCAAGCGATATTGAAGGAAATATCTGCGAAAAATTGATGGGTGGCAAAAACGTTAAGGAGCCATACATTCTCTGTAAACTTTCGACTTTTAAAAAGGAATTTCGCCGAAACCATTCGGTATATCTAACTCAGATTTTCAAAGATAACTGAACTTATTATGCTCTTTCAACGCTCAGAGATTTTATTTCATGATTATATGTAAATGAGGCAAAAAATGTAAACAAAGATTCGCCTATAATTCGATTGATACTGATGGTTAGCTCAATTGAAAGTTCTCAACGGTAGACATCGCATTTGGGTGAACTGTTGTTTACAATCGAACTCCAAATTATTTTTAAATCATGGCGTGCCACACTATGATTTAAACCTCATTGGGAGTCAGTGCATTGTTGACGGATGTTTTCGTGATATTGGACAAGTAATTATATTCTCGGTTTTCACATGACGTCACCAAAATTCAAACTAAGAAACTGTCGCTTCTTCTGAGTTTCTACTTTCATGTGATATTAGAGCACCTTAAAACTTTTATACAAACAAATTTTCAGTTCACAAGGTTTCTTCGTTTTGCGATACAGGACGCTTGAATTTCCAGGCTTTTGCGTGACGCGGCATTTAGCTCGCGGCCAAGAAAGCTCTTATGTGGGTTAAAAACATTGCGGATTTTTGGAGATTTTGCTATCTAAATATTCCTTGTCTTAGAATAAATATTCCTTTAACCTTTATGAGTTCCTCAATCGAAGAATTCACGTATAAGTAGGAAAACTCAAAAACAGATGTTTCTGTTAGTTTCCGGCGGCCATATTTGTGCCCCTGGAAGGGACACAAACATGGCGCCTCCATACAAAGCTTTATAAATTTGGGTAAAACGTTTTTCCGACTATCTCTCATATGAACTATTCCATAGACCTGATTCTTGGCAAGGCGTTTTGTATATTTATCTTCTTTCATTTCCCAGATTCTAGACTTTTGTATTAAAAGGTTTCCATTTTTATTTCTGCTTTCTCACGTGAGTGAAAACCGAGAATAGTCATAAATAGGTCAATCACGCAGTTCGAAAATATGAAGCTTCATTGTTTGACTAAGAAATACGTTTTCCAAGGTTTAAAAGTCTAAATTCCTTTTTTAAAAACGTAATATTATATACATAGTTACTCGAGAAATAGTTACAATTTAGTATCCTTTGAGACGATGCCATAAAATATGTAAATAAATCTTAGGCAAGACTGAAATCGAAGTTATTGATTCAAGAAAGAACGACTCTTCAAAACTAATAAAAAATTCAAAAATTGCAAAGAAGCTCGCCAATATTAAAAGTGCACTAATCTGAGCATGTTTCCCTTGCTACAATAGAAAACGTGGTCGTTTGAACGCAGCTTAATCCATTGACCGTACAATCAATGATTTGTATAATATATTGCCAGAGGTTACGAATACCGCAATACCAGCTCAGAAGAATTAATTCAGCATCGAAACCTAAAGAAAACACGCATCGTCTTATGAGTTTCGTTTTGAAAAGCGCCTGTTCTTTAAATACAAGTTTGGCTTGGTTTAAATGTCGCATTTCACATGTGCGGAATCTAATGCACATAAGTGAGCACATGTGAAATGCGACGGCTAGCTTTTCTTTTCTTTTCTGTTTTTTGGACAAATATATGATATTGTAGCTTCATATTATAATGATTAATTATCAATTTCATATACTACTGGAGCTTGCCTTTTTTACATTCATTATATTAAAATAGATCTTCTTCTTCTTCTTCTTCTTGTTATCATTATTATTATTTTGTTCTGCAGTTACACCTACTGGAAAAAATTCATCAGTGATATTCACTAAAAATATATTTTGTTCGTCCGAAAGAAGAAAAACTGGTCCAGTCTCACCGTTTACACGAGCAGTTTCCGTTGAAAAGGTTTTTGTCGTGAACTTGTTTGTCTTGCTAGAGTAAGTGTTAAAACTAGACATTCAAGTGTTTTACCGTCCTGCTAGAGCAAAAACTTCTCAAGTTTTCTTATTTACACGTCGAGCAATTTTTTTTTTCGGTAAACTTGTTGGAATAAGCGGGACTCAAAAGAGGCTTTTGCAATTTAATAAGTTCTGAACAGTTTACATCATCAGTGCATTAGCAGACTACTATGGACCACCAAGGGATGCAATAGTTATTAACTACTAGTAGGAATCATAGATTAGTGAGTGCGGTCGAGTTTTCTTTTTCTTAGTTTTACCGTCAAGCATTACTTCAAAATAGAGTAAAGGTCATAAAATTTTGTTTTTAAAAATGTAAACTCTTTCTATGCCCTCTGCTTAGACGGCTTATTCACCCTCCAGTGGGGTCAATAAAAATAAGACGTAGATCGCAGAAAGCGATTTTGTAAAGAGATATTAAACAGCTTTCCAAATTATAAGTGTCAAAAGCATGTTAATCTCGGGGTGATTTAATCCAGCGTTCATTTTTACTGGCGTAAATTTGATAAGTGGCTTTTATATTGCACACGTCATGGCAAACACCTTAACTGTTTCTTTATATTAGATAATAATTGTATTTAGAATGAAAAGGTTATTTATTTCCAATCCTTCTGCCATCTAATTTAGGTTACCGATAACTGAACTGCTTGAGAGGAGAGGTTAAATTGCTCCCATGCATGTGGATGTCAGCCTAACAAATTGCACCACCAAGCCTCGTTTTGAAATAGGCCATTTCCAATTCCCCCCGGGGCCTCTATTTCAAAACGAGGGTAGCCGTTCTCAGCCTTTGATTTGGAAATCATTTTTCATTCTCATGCAAATAAAACTCATTTTCACAAGAAAGGTTGTGCACCTAGCCTCATTTTGAAAGTGAGGGTTTTTCAGGGTCGGCCAGGGTTTTGGGGTATACGGTATGCAGGGGCTTTTTAAATAGGGTATAGTGCATATTGCAGCTTAAATACGGGTATTCGTTATACCACTTTCTTTGAATTTCAGGTATAAAGTATACCTACCTTTCCTGTGCTTTTGATTACATATCCTACAGCGTATGATATTTGACAGGTCCACGTTTAATCGAAAAAAGAAGCAATAAAAGGCAGTGAAAAGGAGACAATGGAGACGTGTACATGACGTTGTTGATCTCATATTTTAATAACCGCTGTACTGATGGTTCGTAGACGTTATTATGCAAATGACATGACATCAGTCACATGCCAACCGCTTAAGACAATAGGGAACTTAAGAACCACGACGACGACTTTGTCGACGACGACCGGAAGTGAGATACCGTGCACT